ACCTCTGCCACTGCCTCACCACCCTCGCCGGGAAGAATTTTTTCCTAATCTCTCATGTCAATCTGCCCTCTTCCAGTTTAAAGCCCTTGCCCCTTGTCCTGTCACTCCAGGCCCTTGTCAAAAGTCCCTCCCCAGCTTTCTTGTTGGCCCCTTTAGGTACGGGAAGGCTGCTCTGAGGTTTCACTGGTCCTCCGTGGTGCCCACATCCCCTCCTTGCGGAGGTGAAGGATGGAGGGCTGTTTTCCACACGTGCTTTGCGTTATCCCTGGTATCTGTAGACCTTTACGTAAGGTCTGGGCTGGAGCTTGTTTCCTCCAAGATGTCTCAGGTGGTGGCCTTGTAAATGAGTCACGGTGAGTCAAATTCCAGTTTAAAAACCTGCGGAGCAGCTGATCCCTGCAGGTCTTACGAAAAGAGGACTTGAACCCAGCAGACTTCTTGCTGCCGTCGCTGTTCGTGGCATTTAATGGATGTTGGATTTGCATCATTTTCAGATGATTTTTAGGAGTCTCCGAAAGGGTTTGGGTGGCAGAGGGATGTGTGTACCCTCATGTACTCACTCGTATGTACCACGCTGTTAAGGCAAAGATGTTCAAATGGGCTGTTATAAAAGCTTTTGTCAACTTAACCCAGAGCTCTGGTGGGTTCCCCTGTGCCTCATCCCCTTGGTGTCCCACCACTGCGCCCTGGGCTGATGTTGGTCCTGTTCCCCCATCTAGTGGAAGACAAGGTGAAGGACCAGCTGGAGGCTGCCAAGCCGGAGCCCATCATCGAGGAGGTGGTACGTACATTCAGAGTTCTGTGCTGGGTGTATCTGTCTCCAGGCTTAAACCTTGCCTGCAGCTCTCACTGGGTGTCTCCTCTTCCTCCCTAGGATCTGGCAAACCTAGCTCCCAGGAAGCCAGACTGGTGAGTGCCTGCAGAGCCCCGCTTCTGGGAAAGGGATGTTGGAATCAGCGGTGGGTTACCATCACCTTGAGGTTGTCCAGGTTGGGTTAAATGTGCTGGAAATGGGAAACCCAGCCCTGCTGCTGAGGAAGACGCAAGGCACGGGGCTGTCTTCCCTTTTCCTGCTTACACCGAGTGCCAGCACTGATCCCTTTGGGGTGCTTGTCACTGTGGTGGCCCCGGTGACAAGGGATTAGGTTGGTTTGTCCATGAGCTGCCCTGGTGGCAGACACACACTCTGCTCCGTGGTGCTCACAGGAGAGAGAAGTTTCTCTTCGACTGGGAAAGGTGTAACGTGGCCCCTGTGTTCCCATCTGCCTGGGTGAGGATTTGTTCTGACATTGTCTCTCTTCTCCCCAGGGATTTGAAGCGAGATGTAGCCAAGAAACTGGAGAAGCTGGAGAAGAGGACGCAGAGAGCCATCGCTGAATTGATACGTGCGTTACGGTGCTGCAGGGATGGCGTCTGGGGTCACCAGTTGTTCCAGAGGGATTACACGATCCTTACTGGGAGCTCGGTGCCTTGCTGTTGGGCCACGGAAGGACTGGTGGAGCTTGATCCCCTTCCCAAAAGGATCTGTGAAGCTCTCGGTCCCACGTAGCTTCCCCAAGGCTGCATGCATGCTTGGCTTGTGCAGCAGGGAGGGATGGGGCTCAAGGGCTGCGGTTCAGGTCCTCCACCGTGTAGGTTTCCCGGTACAGCCGGTTTATCACTAAGCCACTGCTGTTTCTTGCTTGCAGGAGAGCGGTTGAAAGGGCAGGAGGAGGAGCTGGCATCTGCTGTCGGGTCAGCAAAGCAGGAGGGAAGCGACTCCGACTGAGGAGCTCCATCCGGCAGCCTCCGGCACAGGCTCTGTGGATCTGCCTCTGCCAGCAACGCCGATCCCATTGCTGTCAGGTAGAGGCACCTTGTTGGGACAATGCTGCTCACCGATGCTTTGCTAGAAACCCACAAGTCCTACTGTGCCTGAAGGAGAGGAGCAGATCCAAGGAGGCCTGCTGTCCTCTCAGATGATGACTGGCCGTTGAGGAACACTTCATAGATAGCTTTTTGGAACCATCCGGAGCTGATGGGAGCGGGACAGACACCCACGTTAGCTTGAACCTAGGCTGCCAGGACTCAGAGCAAGGAAGATGTGGGCAAAAGGGCTAATGCCAGAGAAGGTAAATTCAGGCTAACTCTCCTCTTGCTTGTTGGGTAATCAAGGCGATGCCCACGGAGCCAACAGGAGCCCTTAAGAGAGACACGACCATTTCCTAGGGGACTGATGCTCCTGTTCCTACGCAGAGATACCTTTTTCATAGTGCTCCTTTCTGCAGGAGAGCTGGTGTAACTGCCACGTGGGGAGCAACGAGGTCTCTCACTCTGGAGAGCTGGCTGGGAGTATTTGGGAACATCTGTGGTCAGACCCAGCACGTGCAGAATAACTCTGCTGGCAGGGGCTTTGGGGCTCGGGACCTGTTGGCTGCATCTGGCTGAGGTTAACGTGGGGTTTGTTCTGTTCCCTGAAGTTTCCCGACCCTCCAGGCTGTGCAGCGTGTGCCACTCCTCTATATGTTTTATAATTGACAAAGTTTGTTGTTAACAAATCTTTTCATAATAAAACAGTCCCGCAGTGGAAGAAATTGCCTCTTGTTCTGCAGAGGACTTCGCTTCCCCTTTGCTTCCCCAGGACAGGGAGCAGTGGGCTTCAGTTTGTGTAAGTTTGAGGTGGCTGAAGCTATAGCAGGTCAAGCACAACTCCTGGGCTGGAGCTGTGCCACGAATGGGGCAACTGGGGTGATGGCAACCCCAACTGGGGTGATGGCAACCCCGTGGCACTGGAAGAAGTGAGTGGGTGGGATGCTGCGGAGCTGACCGTGTGTCTTCCCTGGGAATGTTTGCTGTGGCTGTTGAAGATCTTGCAGGTTGGGTGCTTTGGCCAGGCCTGATCGTATGGGTTCCTGAATCGTCTGTGTTTGATTCAAAAGTGATTTTGTCCCAAGGTGAAACATCTGGTGAGTACGGCTTTGACAACGGTATTTACGGAAGATTTCACCTGTGATAAAAATAGCTGTTCCTGTTAATGCACACACCTGGCTGCTTTTCAAAACCTGTTGAAAAGAACTGCTCTGGCGGGGGGATGAGGTCCTTCACGTGGCAGCAGCCTGCCTTGGAGAGGGGGGGTGACATATCTGCCCTCGTGCCTTCTCAGATTGTCACCAGCTAGACCAGGTCCCCACGCAGGACAAGATCAGTCCCAGCCATGCTAAATACAGACTGATCGATGCTTGTCCTACTGCCAGGACCCGCCGCTACTGTCCACCGCTCCGTGGTTGCATGTAGTGAGGGGCTTTCTACAGCCTGCCTTGCATATCTGCCCTTGTGCCTTCTGGAGCTGCCATCTCAGATTGTCACCAGCTAGACCAGGTCCCCACGCAGGACGAGATCAGTCCCAGCCATGCTAAATACAGACTGATCGATGCTTGTCTTACTGCCAGGAACCACTGCTACTGCCCACCGCTCCGTGGTTGCATGTAGTGAGGGGCTTTCTACCTGCAAGAGCCCTGTTTCTGCTTCCAGATGATGGTCTAGGAGCAAAGATCTGCTGAAACCCCCTCTCGTTCCTCCAGCTTCCTTAAAGCCCTCCAGCCCCAGCAGCCTCCCATCTCCCTTGACTTACCTGTTCCTAGGGTTTGCAGCCATCCTTGCTCTGTCTTCCCCTCGGGTTGGTGCTTGTCATCCCTCGGAGGGACCCTTTCCCAGGTCCGTGGGGCCGAGAAGGAGACAGAGATCCCACAGAGTGAGGGGAGACCCTCGGATCATGCTGTTTCTGGGCAAGAAAACCAAGATCTGTCACTGGTGTGAAGGTGCCACCCAGGCACTCTGTGCTGTGGGTGTGTGCTGTTGGCCATCAGGTAAGGCTACCCTGTGGGTCCATCATGGAAAATGGGGATGGATCTGCTGTTTGGGGACATCCTTGGCACTGGGCAGAGCACATGGTGGTGCTTCAAGGATACTTAGAAATGAAAAGGACCCTCCAACTCATGACAGTGATGGCTTCTGCACCACCAAAGCAGAGGTACCAACAATTGAGATGAGCGTTCAGTGATCGCTCCACCACGTGGGTCTCTTTGTGGTTAGTTCTTAATGACCTGGGCTGTCACACACCTTAACGTGCGTTTCTTCCTTGGCAAGGAAATTGGGGAGCGTGAACACGTGTCCTCGTGGAGCCACGGCCTCGTCTCTGTGAAATGCCCTGTAGATGTCAGCAAATCTCCGTGCACAAAACCTCACCGTGTCCGAGTAGTCCCAACAGCTGGACCCTGCGCAAAGCCGAACTTTGCCTCCCCAGCAGCTGCTCTGGCTGGGATGCTGCTGCGCTCCTCCATCCGTCTGACTGCCTGCTGCTGCTTCCCTCCTTGGCCGGAGCTAGACCGATGGCCTCTGCTTTGCAACGGGTGTCAAATGTGAATACGAACGCAGCGTGCAGGGGACAGTCCTTGCTTCGCAACGGTGGGAAGCAGAAGAGTTTTCCCTCATAAATTCCCTTTAAACTGCCTCTGGTTGCAAGCACAGCTCTTCCCAGAGCAAACCTGTGCTCCATCTGGCTGCAAAAGCACCCTTCTCACTGACCCCTGGCAGGTTTTTATTCCAGCCTGAAATTAAGCTGGGATCAGCCCCAGACCCCTGGGCTTGGAGACCCAGCTGAGAAGGGGGAGAGGTCCATTTCCAGCTGGACGATGGAGTCCACAGATCCCAAACCAGCGCATGAGTGCTGGGACCTGCTGCTGGAGCCTCCCATCCTCCTGACTTTTGGGAGCATCCCTGCAGCTGTGCTGCAAGCTTGAAGGCACTGACCCAACCGTGGTCTCTTCTGGCTGGAAAATCCCTGCCCTGAGTCTTATTTCCTTTGCTTTGCTGAGGAGACAGGGTCTTCTCCCACTTTCTGATATGTACATTATTTTCTGTAAACCTTAAAAGTACCATTTCCCAGCCCCTCGGGATGCCCTGCTGCTTTGGTCCCCGTGGGGAGCACGCCTGTAAATGGTGACCCATCTCCAAAACTGAGCGTGGACATCCCCTTCCCCATGGGCAGTGGCTGCATCACGCGGAGCAGAGCCGTCCTTGCAGGACACCTGGGGCTGGGCTTGTACCTGGAGTGGGGTGGTGGGGAGGCAGAGCAGGATGAGGCTCATTTCCCTCTCCAGTGGGGCCTCGCAGTGAAACATTGCTTATCCTGGCACAGGGCTGGGACCCCATTGTGAGACGTGGGTCCCAGCATGGGACTGGGGTCCTGGCACGGGACAGGGATCCCTGCATGGGACAGGGATCCCAGTATGGGACTGGTGCCCTGGCATGGGACTGGTGTCCATCCATGGCACAGGGATCCCAGCATAGTACAAGGATCCCGGCACGGGACTGGGCATGGACAGGGATCCATGGGACAAGAATCCCAGCATGAGACTGGGGTCCTGGCACAGGACAGGGATCCCAGCATGGGACAGGGATCCTGGAATGGGACCAAGGTCCTAGAATGGGACTGGTGTCCATCCATGGCACAGGGATCCCAGCATAATACAAGGATCCTGGCATGGGACTGATGTCCTGGCATGGAACTGGGGTTCCTACATGGGCCAGGGATCCCAGCGTGGTACAGGGATCCTGGCATGGGACTGGTGTCCATCCATGGGACAAGAATCCCGGCACGGGACTGAGGTCCCAGCATAGACCAGCCCTGGGGCTGGTGTGCAGGTGCCAGGGACTAATGCCCCCTTTCCCCGGGGCGTTCCCTTCCCCAGCTTGGGGGAAAGGGGAGCGTGTGGGGAAGGGCTGGGAGAACAGGGGCATTTGGGATGTCACACCAAGCTCTGCATCCTGTGGATTTCATTTATTCCCTGGGAGATGGTGAGGGGTTTTCTCCCTTTCAAAGGTTGTGCCCCAAGCCTGTGTTTATGCTCTAGACCTTTTAAAATCCCAAACAGTGCCTTTCATGGCCCAGAAGCAGTTGTCACTTAACCATGGGTGGTTTTTTTTTTTTTTTTTTTGCATTGCAGGTGTCTCAGGGACCCACCTGAAGTCCCCTTGGACAATGCAGTGCTCTGTGCTCATCCTATGCCTGTATCCTCGGGATGCTGCCATGGCAGAAACTCTCGGAGAAACAGCCCCGATTTGCTTTGCCCGGGTCTCCCTGGATGAGGAGAGCTCGTCTGAGAGCCGGACTGGAAAAGTAGGATAAGACACAGGAGAGCCCCAAGGACCGGGAGGCAATTTGGCTCAAGGTCATTTGCAAAGCAGACAGTGAGACCAGAATGAACAGTTTCTCAAGCAAAGCAGATCAGAAAGGCCAGGGGAAATAAATAACCCAGTGAGATAATCCCTTCAGCTCCAGGGAAATCAAAGGCTTAACATTTACCCTGTGCCTCTTGGGGAATTTCTCCATATCACAGAGCTGATGCTCCAGCCACACCGCCAGATACCAGAGGAGACACCACATCGTTGAGCTCCTTGGGACAGGGATGCTTTCCATGCCCTGCATTTTCAAATAGGGAAAGCAACGGTCCATGTGGGTCTGCAGGCATCAGCTGGTCCTTCTGGAAACCTCAGGGTGCCTTGGGGTGGATGTGGAGAATTTGCTCCATTGTGTCTTCTCTTCTTGCCTCCCCAGCAGCATTAAGAGCAGGTCCCAGCTCTTTGCAAACCAGTCCAACCACACAGCCCTGGCTCTCCCTTTTACAGGCTCGGGTGGTAAACAACGGCACGATGTCTGTCCTCCATCTGTCCCTCCCAAATGGCTTGGGATCTGCTGTCCTGGCAAGAGACGTCAGCACAGCCCTTTGG